AAAAAAAAAACAAACCCTGGAGAGGAGGGAGAATCTGATTTCCAGGATTACCATATTATGCTACTTAAAATGTCCAGTTTACAACCAAAAATTACGAGACATGCAAAGAAACAAGTAAGCATAGCCCATACACATGGGGGAAAAAGCAATCAAGAAAAACTGTCCCTGAGAAAGCCCAACATTGGATTTACTGGACTAAACTTTAAATCAACTATGTCAAATATGTTCAAAGGAAATCATTTCTAAAGAACTAAAGGAAAGTATGAAAACAATGCCTCATCGAATAAAGAATATCAATAGAGATATAAATAATTTTTTTTTAAAAAAGGAACCAAATCCTTTTCTAATCGCTAATAGAAATTCTGGAGTTAAAATGTACAATAACTAGTATGTGAAAAATATCATATGTCATACAAAAGAGTTTATAGAATGGATAGCTACATTTTAAGAATAACAATAAAATGAATGCTCATGTATATATAGCAAACAAACAGACAGTTGCTATCAAGTCAATTCTGACTCATGGTGACCCCATGTGTTTCGGAGTAGAACTGCACTCCATAGGGTTTTCAATGGCTGTGACATTTCAGAAATAGATTGCCAGGCCTGTCTTCTGAGGTGTCTGTGGGTGGATTCAAATTGCCAACCTTACTGTTAGTAGCTGAATATTTAACTGCTTGCAGGGAGTCTGTGTACTACAGTCTAAGAAATAAATTATTTACAGTACCTGAAATGCCTCCTGATTGCATTTTCTTCTATCTTCCCTAGAGATGGGTTGTATTGGCTTGATAGAATGAATTTGGGAGCATTCCTTCCTTTCTATACCTTGAAATAGTATAGTATTGGTGTGAGATTTTCTCTGAATATTTGGTAGAATTCTCCAGTGAAGCCATTCGAGCCATGGCTTTTTTTTATGGGAGTTTTTTTATTACCTCTTCAATCCCTTCTTTTTTTAAGGGTCTGTTTGGTTTTTCTACCTCAGTTTATGTTAGTTTGGATAGATAGCATGTTTCTAGAAATTTGTCCTTTTCCTGTAGGTTTTCAAATTTGTTGGAGTACGATTTTTCATAGTATTGTTATGATCCTTTTTATTTCAGTTGGTTCTATTGTAATGTCAGCCATCTAATTTCTTTTCTTTCTTTTTTTTTAGCCATTTCATTTCTTATTTGGGTTATTGGATTCCTCTCCTGCTTTACTTTTGTCAGTTTTGTTGATACTTTCAAAGAACCAACTTTTGGTCTTGTTGATTCTTTCTATTGTTTTTCTGTTCTATATTTCATTTATTTCTGCTCTAATCTTTATTATTTCCTTTCTTCTGGAGACTACGGGCTTCTTTTGCTGCTTTCTGTTTGTTTGAGTTGTAGGGTTAATGTTTTCATTTTGGCCTGTTCTTCTTTTTCGATGTGTGAGTTTATTGTTATAAATTGACCTCTGAGCACTCCTTTTGCTGTGTTCCAAAGGTATTGGTAAGATGTGTTTTCATTCTTATTTGATTCTAGGAATTTTTTTAATTCCATCTTTGCTTTCTTCTATTACCCAGTGGTTTTTAAGCAAGGTGTTATTCAGTTTCCATGTGTTTGATTTTTTTTCCTTGCTCTTCTTGTTATTAATTTCCACTTTTATGGTGTTGTGATCAGAGAAAATGCTTTGATTTATTTCAGTGTTTTGGATTTTGTTGAGGCTTGCTTTGTGGCCTAAAATGTAGTCTACTCTGGAGAATGTTCCATGTGTGTTGGAAAAGAAAGTATACTTTGCTACTATTGGGTGGAGTGTTCTGTATATGTGTATGAGGACAAGTTGGTTGATTGTGGCATTTAGATAATCTGTATCTTTACTGAGTTTCTTTCTAGATGTTCTGTCCTTCACCAAGACTGGTGTGTTGAAGTCTCCTAATATTATTGTGGAACTATCTATTTCTCTTTTCAATGCTCTTAGAGTTCATGTATTTTGGAGCCCTGTCATTGA